GGACTCCCTTGCCAGCCTCGCTGGGGACTCTCCTGCTGGTTTATATGACTTAGTCCAGTCCAATGTCATTGGCCGCGTACCAATAACATCGGACTGGGGAGACTTGTTGATATATGGTCCATTAGCATGGCCTAGACCGCTCTGGCGCGTCAGCCTGGCGCTCCCTGGCCTGGCTCTCCCTTGTCAACCTTGCTGGGGACTCCCTTGCCAGCCTCGTTGGGGACTCTCCTGCTGGTTTATATGACTTAGTCCAGTCCAATGTCATTGGCCGAGTACCAATAACATCGAACTGGGGGGACTTGTTGATATATGGTCCATTAGCATGGCCTAAGACCGCTCTGGCATGTCAGCCTGGCGCTCCCTGGCCTGGCTCTCCCTTGCCAGCCTTGTTGGGGACTCTCCCGCCGGCTTGGCCTGACGCTCCCTTGCCAGCCTTTCCTGGTGCGTGCCCGCCAGCCTTGCCTGGTGCGCGCCCGCCAGCCTCGCTCGGCGCCTCCGGGCGGCCTCGCCCAGCTCCTTGCTAGCTGGGCTTGAATTGGGCTGGCCCAAGGCCTGACCTAATTCCCCTTGACCTAATTGTCCCTTATATAATGAATAGTATCTCCTCCATGGAGAAGGACCTTTCCCTTGGACTCTTCCCCAAGTGGCTCAGCCACCACTAGGCCTCTCCCCATGGCTCAGCCGCCACCCTATACTCCGGCCGGGTGGCTCAGCCGCCACCCGCCGCCGCCAGCCACCATACACCAACACCAGTACCAAGATGGTTCTCTCTAGCTAAAGAGAACCATCTCAGATCTACCAGATGATCTAACATGATCGTCGAAGTCCGCTCCCGGGGCACAGTCCCTGGGACGGCTCTAACGGGCTTGTCTGTTGTGATCTCGCAGATCCGTCTCCGGCGTAGAAGCACTCGCTCAGAGCAGATGGTCGGAGCAGATGTCGCATCAGTTATCAATGCTCATGCAAAACAAGCTATGAGGATAATTATCGATGACACTCCACCAAGACGATAGAAATGCCGCGACATCCACATCGTACACTCATATAGCAGCCCTGCTCTGCAATAACATTAGCAGCAGCCTCGCTCCGCATAACATTGCCAGCAACAGTTACGCTGCATCACACTGACTGGATCACACTCCTCTCAATGAAGGAGTATTAAGTCAAATCAAGCTGCATAAGCAATGCTCGTCTCATCGCACAACACGATGGCTCCCGTGGGCGAGGTTCAGTCATTCCTTTGATTATTTGATGCATTGGTGCTTTGTCTAGTCCGATCCGATTGTCAGCAATCCAACGCATCGGACTAGGGGGACTTGATGACACACAATTTATATGACTAAGTCCAGTCCAATATCATTGGTCGCGTACCAATAACATCAGACTGGGGGGACTTGATGATATATGGTCCATTAGCATGGCCTAGACAGCTCTAGCATGCCAGCCTTGCCTGGCGCTCCCTTGCCTGGCTCTCCCTTGCCAGCCTTGCTGGGGACTCTCCTGCCGGCCCGGGCCTGGCACTCCCTTGTCTGGCGCTCCCTTGTCGGCTTTCCTAGTGTGCGCCCACTAGCCTTTCCTGGGGCGCGCCCGCCAGCCTCGCCCGGGGCCTCCGGGCGGCCTTGCCCAACTCCTTGCTAGTTGGGCCTGAATTGGGCTGGCTCAAGGCCTTACCTAATTCCCCTTGACCTAATTGTCCACTATAAATATAATAATGCCTCCTCCTTGGAGGGGGACCTTCCCTTTGGCTCAGCCGCCACCCTAGACATCAACCAATGGCTCAGCCGCCACCCATCTTCTCTTCTTGGCTCAGCCGCCACACTATACTCCAGATGGGTGGCTCAGCTGCCACCCACTGCCGTCAACCACCATACACCACCAGCAACACCAAGATGGTTCTCTACAGCTAAGGAGAACCATCTCAGATCTACCATCTGATCTAACTTGATCGTCGGAGCCTGCTCCCGGGGCACAGACCCTTGGGCGGTCCTAACGCATCTCTCTGATTGTGACAAGCAGATCTAACCGCCATAGCTGCCATCAAGAGAAGAGAAGACCAGAAGAGTCGTCGGAGTTCTATGTCACATCAGATGATTATGACTAGAGTTGGACCAAAACCTAGGGTTAGGAAAGAAGGTGGTGAACTTTAATGTGTGTGCATGAGTAGATGACCATTCTATGCATGATTTAACTTCTATGATCATTAGGGTTAAATAAGATCAAATATTGCTTAATACAAACTAAATACCGATTTGCATGATTGTTTGTTCGCTTGATCAATGAATTAATAGTTATGTTGAAATCAAAGGAATAATAGCGTGACCATGATGCTAGTCATATTAGGAATCGGTGAATAATGAATAAATATCCATTGTATCAGTAGTTAGCTATTATTTTGAGATGTAATTTATTTAGGCCAAAGTACCTAAAGAAATTGGTCTTCCAGTCAGTTTATCGATATTTGATGTTAAGTGTTATTTGAGTTTTAATAAAACCCTTCTTATTTCTTTTGTGTGTTTTGTGTAACCTATAATCTAACATTTTAAAATTAATTCACCACCATTCCCCTTGTGTTCGACACATGGTCTTACCACAACTATACTATTACACGACTAGGTACACTGCTTAGTGTGTTTATTAGTCCGGTTGAGATAAAATCAGTTTTATAAATTTAAAATATATATAAAAACTTAAGTAATTAAGTTTTTAAAACTTGAGTAATTAAAATATATATAAAAACACACATCAAAGACATTCTTATATTGACAAGCGATCCAATTCACGGTTCATAACATTGGTTCCTAAGGTGGAAGAGCTAGCCACTTTCACTTAGAGAATATAGATCAATTCACCTATTCACCTCATTGGTTATGCCTATAAGATTCTTAAAGGCTATGAATATGATATTGATGGGAAAGTGGTGCGCTTCCCACGTGATAAGGCTCTTTATAGAAAAATGTTATCACTGCTCTTTACGATACATAAGGGAAATTAAGAATAGACATTGGGTAAATTTTTGGAGGTAGTGTATGGGAATCCATTGCCCAAACTAATGGTCCTTTGTCAACTAATAATGTTAACTTAAAAGAACGCTTTATCAAAAAGATCAAGTCGTGGAATTTTACAAAGTTTTAGACTGACAACTAGTGTGGAAACATTTCTCTGGTGAGTCGTTCCCAAGAGTTTACACCATATATGCAAACTGATAATACTTTGTCAACTATAGAGCTAGTGTTGGATGTGAGAGTAATGGGGTTGTTTTCTCATGGGAATGGACTAAGGATCTCGGGAAGAAGAATGCTTGAAGAGATAAATGATATTATTGATATATATATATATATATATATATATATATATATATATGTATATATATCTATAGCTTGTTATTCTCGAGCAAAAATGACAGATGGGAGTGGGCAATGGCTCCCTCAAAGATTTACACTATAAGATGCACTTAGGCATGAGATGCGGTTGAAAACTAGATTCTTCCGATTAGAAGCACAACCTGTACGAAACAAAATTACTAGATGGCAAAGCCAACGTACTAATTCGGTGAACTATCCAAATTACTAAGTTTGGGGTGGGTCAAAGTCGGACCTGAGGAGGTGCTAAAGGTGTGCAACCACACATGACTCATTTCATGACGGGGGCTGGAATCAGGCCCGACCCAGACAATAGGCAATCGGGCGGTCACCTAGGGCCCATGTCTTTGAAGGGTCCAAAATTCTTAACGTAAATGATATATATATATATATATATATATATATATATATATATATAGAGAGAGAGAGAGAGATTAACTTATCTAAAAATGTTAGGAGACGTATTTTTTTTTTTAAATTAGTTGTTTTTGTAATGTTGTGGAATTATTTGTGTTTTTTTTAATATTAATAGTGAGCTTTGTGAATTTTATTAGGTTGTGTCTAATTTTCAATTTAATTTTTATTATATTTATGCTTTTGGGGACCCATTTTTCTTTTTTCCATAGACCCACTATATCTTTGAACCGGCCTGGAATTTTAATACACAACAAGTTTGTCGCTAATCCATCGTTAATCTGTCACTAATCCATACCTAATTCGTTGTTAATATGTCAGCAAATTCGTCATAATCTATAGCTATCCGTTGCTATCTGTCCCTATCCATTGCTATCTGTCGCTAATCCAAAATTTGAGGGGTCCATATTTATATTTTGCACAGAGCCTTTAAAATCAATATACCGGGTGGATAAGGTCAATGTGCATTTTGGTGCTGACTCTTGGTGGTCGAGCCTTTTCCATATGAATCTCATAAAAGGTACATTTTGTGTGTGTATTTTTTCTAGGGGAGTTCAACACCTGGTAATGTGTGATGCTTGTGTAGTTATGGAAAAGGCCTCGTTTCATCTGGGTAATCACTTATTCATGTGTTATAGTGTTTAGTGTTATGTTCTCTACATGTGGCTTCACATCTCTTAATTTTGGCTTAATGACTTATGGTCTATTAAAGAAATTGCTGACAGAGGTATCAAGAATATATGAAAAATAGAGTAACTAAAGTTTGCATAAACGATTCACAAAAAGGGCAAGTTGGAAGAAGAGTAGGCTCAGTTAAAGATAAAGGGGTCGAAAAGGATTGGTTTTTCTTGGTATTTGAATGCAATAGAAAAGACAGACCATGTAATCTTCTTTGCATATAATTCACAGTTTCTCAAAATCATAAATCAACTCTCTTTGGCCCCGATGTAAAATATATCCATTTATCAAATTAATCTCACATTGACCATACTAATAAAATACTAGAACTTACAACCTCCCGTCTTTGTATCTTTCTTTTTAAGGTAATTAATACGACCAAAACATACATTAAATAGCCATAAATAGAAGGTTATGTAGTTATTGTAAAAAAAAAAAAAAAAGACAAAACATAACATATCGAGAGAAAAAAAAGATCATATACTTACAACACCAACATTCCAAAAAGAAATATACAATGAAGAAGCCGATTAATGGCTCCACCCATCGATAGTAATCAAAAGAAATAGTTAAAAGAAAAACATATACAAGAAATACAATGTTCATGTGGGTCACAAGTGAGAAATGATAAGTGTGTAAAGAAACTCATTCCACGTGTCAGGTAATCCAGGTAAGCACCAATGGATACAGTCTGCATAAACATCAGGATTTGCTTTTTGTTCTGGGGTTAAGAATTTTCCTTGGCGTATGGTGTAGATTGAGGTGTGTGCATCTTTTCGATACTCTGAAAGAGTAGTTATGTTGATGAGGTTCACTGGGAGTTTCATTGATTGAATCACATCGGTTGTAATAGTAAAAAGGCCGCGGTCTGTGCCTACGTTTGGTGGCGTGGACACGTTTAAGATCGGACTCGTTTCTTTTGCGCAATTGGTGTCAACAGGGTTGTCCCAGTCCAGACTACAACGTAAATTTTGTTTATTAAAATTAGTTAAAATAGAAATATTTAGTAGCGAGCAATCAATATAAAATATAGTTACTACTAGTTTTCATATTGGTAGAAATAATATTAATGTAAATTGTTGAAAAACATACACAAAAAAAAAAAAACACTCGTATTTTTATTATTTTGTAACTATTTTGACATCGTTTAAAAAACTTACTTGATATAACAACTAAGTAAGGCTACATTCATTCATGGGTATTTGTTGATTTCACGTGCTATGTGAATATTGTAAAGTAAATTAATTAATTATTCTATAAAATATTATTTTCATTTAATGTAACATGTTATTTGGATATGTTAGATTACCCCAAATTGAAACTTACTTCATATGGATAGGAGACATGCTGTTGAAGAAGATTGTTGTACGATTAGGGTTTATGTTTCTATCAATCCACTCGGCCCATGTCTTCAACACTCGTGCATATGCTAAAGGCCTCTTGATTTCATCATATTCGATTGCTCCTTCATCAAACGATCCTCTCCTGTTTCATCAAATTTATGATAATTTACTTGCAAATAAAATAAAATAATATAGGGGAATTGTAAATTGAAAAAAAGTAAGAAATGAAGCTTACAGCACTTTCATGTTTCTTGTGTTCATCCACCAAATGTATGTGTTGAAGACCAAATAGTCAACATTTTTCCAATTTTGACCATGGATATTGATTGATTCAGGCATGATGATTCTGTCTAATATGCTGTGTTTTCTTGGATCATCCGAGTTTGATTCTACCAGAAATGGGGCCCAGTAAAATTCCACTGTGGCATTATAATCCTGCAAAAATACAAAGTCAGCTATCTTTCAAATTCATAATTATTTAGAAATTGTCAAAAGCATATGGTAAAAGTGTAAATGTAAATTGGATTGTTGGTAATTAGAATTTAATTTGACTTATTGTTCAATTAAAATGTTTAACTACTAATTAAACATATACAATTCAAATTAACATGTTAAGCTCGTACTCACGAACGAAACTTTTTCTTTATTTCGAGTTTTTTTTCTTAAATCCCTTGAAAGCTTCAAACCCTAAAATGGAAAATGGATGGCTCTTATATTTAATTAAACTAAAATATAAATCGACAATGATCGAGAAGTTTTATGTTTTGTCATTTGAATTGCATATGTTTAATTTTCGTTTGTGAGTACAAGCTTAAAGTTTTATTTTAAAAAAAAAGTTCATAAATTTAAAAGCTACTTCAAGTAGTTTTTTTTAGAGCTTTTAACTTTTACCTTTATAGTTTATGTTATTTTCCATCTTTCAAAAGTTTATAGCTATTTTTTTCAAACACTTTTACATAAATACAAACCAGAGTTTCTACCTATGGACTAGTTTTGCGAAACATACCATATACATAGTTTAAAATAGTTTATGATATATATATATATATATATATATATATATATATATATATATATATATATATATATAATATATATATATATCAGCTAGTAAGAAAATATGTTCATTTACAAGAGTCGTCAATGTTGTTTTATATGTATACTGCCCATCACTAAATTTCTATCTCTATTCTCTAATATGGTGTGAGAGGGAAATCTCCCTAAACCCTAATTTCCAATGAAACCCGTGTTACCCTCTTCAACCTCCTATTCACCGATCTTCTTTTTGTCGATCAACGCCTCTTATGGGCAACAACAAGTCTTCCTCCTGACCTTCTCTTATATTCCATCCATTGAAAAACCCTATTGTATTACCGATATCAAAGCCTAAGTATACATCATTTCTATACACTAACAATCTTTATTACAATTAAAAAAAATTTTAAAAAAAAATCATGCTTGGCGGAGGATGGAGGAAAAGTAATTTCAAATAACCATTCTTCTTGGGCTCTTTCTTTATTTTACCCGATTCTACACCCCCATCGGTGCCCGACCCTCTTTAAAGGCCAACTTCCACTTCTAAGGCTAAACAGTGTCATACCATTTTTTACCGTCGGTAATCCGATGTGGCAGGTGCTACCGACGGCAAACACCGCCCTCTGTTTTTTTTTTTTTTTTTGTTGACGGTAATATGCTGGCGTTAATAGTTTACCGTTGTCTCTCTCTTCTTTTTCCATCTAAAACCTCCATTTCTCCCACCTCTTTCTACCCTCTTTTGCTAAGAACACTACCCCGTAACCTCTTGTAAAAATGGTAAAAATGACAAACTTATCAATATCAAAAAGGTAGAAGTGTGGTGTCATTGGTACTACACGGTTCAGTCTAAAAGTCATGTCTCTGAGGAAAAAAAAAAACCAACGCCTATGTCATTGTTTGTAAAGTTCCTTCATCTAATTTATTAATTTTTAATAATAAGAAATAATTATAAAAAAACATACTTAACAATAATATAAAATGCAACAAAAAACAATACTAAAAGAGTAACCATTTCAACTAAAAAAAATCATAAAAATTATGTATTATTATAGTTATAAAAATAAAATAACAAACAAAATTTTATGTGGCTATCACAAATTTCATATTTAATAGAGTCTGTGATTTATATTTTTCTTTAATTGAAGTCTAAAAAACCGTTTACTATATGACTTATTAACCCATTAAAATAAATAAAAAATAACTTTATTAGGTAGATCTATCCGGCCCCTTGCTAAAAAATCGTTGGATGGACCATATGCTTTTATAGCACTAAATGCTAATGTAAACCAGTGTAGTTAAGGGGTGTTTAGATAAATAGTTTTTAGCTTATTAACTTATTGCTTATTTGCTTATTGTGGTGGGAATAAATATTTTTTTAAAATGTGTTTGGATTAGTTTATTGTGGTGGGAATAAACAATAAGCAATAAGCATTTAAATGTTTGACAAAATAAAACAGCTTATATAAGTAAAATGACCAATAAGCAATAAGCAATAAGCCATTCCCCCTTGCTTATTAAAATCAGTTTATTTTGCTTATTCCTATCACAATAAACTGATTTTTTAAGCATCCTATCCAAACACTTAAATTAGCTTATTGTGGTGAGAATAAGCAATAAACTAATAAGCAGTCATTTTTTCCCTATCCAATCCATACAATATTTTACCCCGTTTAATATAAATACGATTACTCTTATCATTTATGTAGAATTTAACCGTCTAAATATAATAAACTTACAAAATTTTCTTTTATCATAGTTGTTTAAATGTTTGAAATGAGAAAAAATAAAAATTTATCATATTGAACAATTAAGAAAATATTGTATAAATTAATAAAATGATACAAGTGTATTGGAATTTTTTGTTTTAATTCATTTAGATCAACATTATATTTTTAAATCAGCATTGAAGAATTCTTGGCTGTTGAAGATTGATGTGGAAAATTATTAACAAGAAACTCTGTGTGTGTGTGTGTGTGTGAGAGAGAGAGAGAGAGAGAGAGAGAGAGAGAGAGAGAGAGAGAGAGAGAGAGAGAGAGAGAGAGAGAGAGAGAGAGAGAGAGAGAGAGAGAGAGAGAGAGAGACCTCAATTCTGAAAATGGAGAAAGACCCGGTTCTGATCAAGCTTTTTCTTCCTGAACTAACAACCGATTGAACCATGCACACCATTGATTCCCATTGATTTCTATTCAACGAATCTCCAACGAACATAAGCCTCTTGTTCTTCAATTTCTCCACCAACAATTTCCCTCTAAACCTTCATTTCATTTCCCCCAAAACACACAATTAAAATCATCAAGAATTTCAGCAATTTAACTGAAGTCAAAATTAAAGAGCAGAGTGTGCTAACTTTGGCAAATTACAGTCTTTAGGTTGCCACCTCCACTTCTGATACATAGATTCTTGTCTCCCATTTTTCAAACACGTAACCTGTTCAGTCAGAAATTCACACTCCTCTTCTCTATACAAAGGGCGTGTCAAATCATCAAAAACCCAACTCCCATCGAAAATATCGCAGCTTTCTGGTGGGAATTCCATGTCTTCATCGTCTTCCACCATTGCCGACAGTTTTGAGCTTTGTTTCTCATTAATGTTCGACACTGGAAGTGGGTTTTCATGGGGTTGGATTTTCTGAAAATAAGGTGTAGAGCGGGGGAATTGTGTTAGGTATTTGATATCTTCATCGTAGAAGATGATTCCGATGAGGAAGACAGAGAGGAGGACGATGGAAACAGAGAGGTGGTTATTTTTGCGGTTATACATGTCGGTGGTGGTTATTATCAGCCCCAAGAAGAAAATGGAGCAAAAAGAGGCCTAATAATGTTTGGCTGTCTCGCGAGAAATATGATAGCGAGATCTTTTAATAATTCAATTTTGGTGCCTATTGTTTTTAATGCTGATGTGTGGATAAATTTATATTTATAGTCTTATAGATATGTTTCATTAAATGTTTTTACCTAAGACTAATATAGAAAATTTCATGAAAAGGAATAGGAATTAGTAAGTGTCCAAGCCTTTTTTAAACTCAATCATAAACTATGAGAGACTTTAATCTCATTCATTAAATTATGCGGAGTGGTCATGGGAAAGTGGTGTGGTCTCGGACCACGTCACCATCAACCATGCTGACGTAGGAGAAGAGCCGGTCTTGACGCCATAACGAGAGAGAGAGAGATTTTAACCACGCCCACTGACGTCGTCCACTCGGGGTGGTGTTCACGTTAACTGTGTCAGCGCTACGCCTAAGGTGTGGTGTGTAGTGTTTTAAAAACCAGTTTGATTCGACCGGTTGGACCCGGAATTAGAGAATGAGCAGTTCAACTAGCATCAATTTTATTTTATTTTTGAACCGGAATCAACTGACCGGTTTTTACAAAAATCCGGTTGAACCAGTTAAATTAAATAAAAACATATGAAAATGAATCATTTTAATAACAAACTTTTTATTTTTATTTATTTTTAATTCTTTTATTTTTTACATTTATTGTAGATTTTTTTGAATAAAAACATATGGTAAATGTTCTAAAGGTTTTTTTAATGCGTTTGTATTCATCTAAAACTATATTTTGTTTCCGTATTATACTTTATTTTATTTTTGATGTATGTGGATTGATGTAAAACTTACGGTTATGTGTTTTTAATGTATCTGGATTGATCTTCAACTTGTACTTATATATATTTATAATGTTTAAACTTGTGAATGTCTATGTGTGTGTAGAAAAATAGGAAAGAAGATAAAAAAAATTATAGAAACCAGTTGAACCGACGGTCGAACCGATTAAACCAGTTGAACCGGGAACCGGTCATCGTACATGTTCAATTAAAAAACCGGTTTTTAAAACATTGGTGGTGTATACTCATGATAGCCTTATCTTATGGGAAGGAAAACATTTTCAAACACTAGATTTTACTAGGCTATGAGCTTCTTGGTAGTAAAATATCAGATTCGGTATTCTTGAATTATTATAAACTTTAACATTTGTCATATGTTATTACATTGTAGATAAGAGCAGATCAATCTACAATTTGTAATATTGTGCTTTAAAGTGAAACACTGCTTCATTCTATTATACTATCTACTGTTCTTAACGTCTCACAAAAATAGAGTTGGTGGTATGGGCTTGAAGACAAGGGACGTTCATGTCGAAACACAAAACCTTCTATCATTCTCTCTTTCTTGCACTATTCTTCCTTGAGGATTCAAAGAAACATTTGCTTATTTCTCAATCGAAACCCAAAGATATGCGCAACTTCATTCTCCCGGTTTGAAAATTTCAAAATTTGAAAACCTCTGTCACTCTTTCTCGTAAGAAACCTCAACATCCCCATCCTCAGTCTCTCGCCATAATCATCACACCACGACCACCTTAAACACCTTTGTCAACACCATCGCACCATCACCTGCTGGGCATCAAAATTAGGGTTTTTGTTAGGTTATCATAAACTTCGAGTTTTGATAAAAAATGCTTTGTCACAGTTCCTTAACCATCTCATTAGAACCAATAAGTAAGCTTAATGTTGTTTTTAACAAAGGTATTCATCATATTGTATGCCTACAAATATGATTTTTTCAACAATTTCTTAATTTTGGTTGAAATGGTTATACATTTTGAATTTTGACATATTTTCATATAAATTGGGTTTTATATCTTATCTCATGCAGTTAGGTTCTGTATCGTGATAGTTTTTTTGTTGATCTAAATGTTATGTTCTTGATAGGTTCTGCATCCTGAAAAGCAACGACCGCGAAGGAAGCTTTCCAACACCTCCCCCAAGCCGATTAACAGCAGGAAAGTATCGTAGCGACAAAGCAGTATTACCCGACAATCTTAGTGGTGCACGCACCACTACCAACATCCTCCATGGGCCAATCACAGTATTGGACAAAGAAGGAGGTATCCCCTCCAATGAGCGTTACTGTCCCGTATCAGGATTGACACTCATTTCCCCTAAAAGTGGAGTAACCGCGCATGCCTTACTATATAAGGCCAACAACCATACCCACAGCGGTAAGTTCTCTTTGAGTCGATACTCTCTCAACATAAACCCTAAAACAAATACTGACTTGATCGTCGGAGCGTCCTCCTGGAGAACGTCTGACGAGTTCGTTTCTTGTGTTCCAAGGCTCAATTGCATGCGATAATCCCACCGGACCATCAAGAGGAAACCACCTCGCATCATTGGTACCATCCGCTGTTGCGACAACCGTTAAACAAAGCTACATAATATTCATTCACACCGGTTACTCAACCTTGGATGCAACCATTCACACTGATGAACACCCAACCATTCCAGATTATAAGCCCATATATCTGCGGAACACAATCACAAAGTTCTTTTCCTACACCCAGCCAAACGGGAACGCAATACCCTTACCAGCTTCCCCTATTCTTTTCGAACAACCATAGTCACAAATCAACAAACAAGGTTGATGCTAGCTCAAACAACATTGTTCAGAGGATACACACCGGTGACTCAACCACCAACTTCCATACCGACATTCGATAGCATGTTCACGTAGATGAACATAAACCAACAAACACCGCCACATGCAACAACATATATCCCGACAACGACAATTCACATCATGCACGATAACATTCTTGTATATCAGAATACTTTTCCTTTGAACTCACACAATACACCCCCGTATAGCACAACTTTCCTCCAACAATCCACATACAATTTTTCACAAATACACACCTAGACCCCCTTGAAAACAACCAACACCTCACCCTTCATACCAGAACTCCACAACTATGATATACCAAGCACAACAAGACTACCCAAACTTAAAGTACATCACGATACAACATGTCCCAATATCCACATAGATACCTACAAGTGGCACATGAAATCCCTCAAGCCAGATGAGCGGTTCTAGTGCACACACTTCCTTACATTACTCGACAGAAACGTAAGGGCATGGTTCAAAAGTCTTGCACCAAACAACATCCACAACTTTGCCCAAATCAAGGAGCTATTCCTAACCAATTTCATGCAACATTAGGAATACCGGGGAGATGTCCAAGAAATATTGGGGTGTAAACAAAAAGAAGGCAAAAGCATCATAGATTACTTCAAAAGATTCAACAAGAGAACACTCAACATACCAGGTCAGGACGAGAAGCTAGTTACCGGGGTATTCACATACGAGCTACTCCCAGGATCGATGTCATGGAAATTCCTCGGTAAAAAACCTACAACAAGACAAGAATTGAAAGAAAGGGTAGACCGATACCTAAGACAGGAAGAAGGCATAACTACCAAAGAACCTTTCCTATGTGCAATAAAGTCAACACACAACCAGAGGTAATCATACGTGTTCCCTAAAAGAACCCAAAAGAACAACATTAACACATACTGACGAAACAAACAATTCCAACCATACACACACAATGACAAACGGTATAGAAGACCGGACGTCCTGGCGATATTTGACAAATCACAGCCTCAGTGCCCCAAAGAGGTTAGCAAAATCAGATTTTAAACTAAAAGAATTCTTTCGATAGTTAAATGGGTCTAACAAGATTTTTTATGGAATTGGAGCTTGGATATACTAAAAAATACACAATTTCATCCTTTAGAAATTATTGTGATGTTACAAAACTTCCCTAATCAGAAGGCATTTGCTGCAAAAATAGGTTTTCACCAAACAAAGTTCACATCTTGGCTTGGAGAGTGATTCATGGCAGGTTTCCCACAATGACTAATCTTTTATCTCTCGATATCGGTATTAGATCAGATTTATCGTGTAAAACATGTAGAGATGGTCATGAGGATGATAATCATTTCTTTATTGAATTTCCACTTATTAAGGATTTGTGGGGTGAAATAAAAAATTTGTGGCACTGTCTTGGTTATCTCTTTGCGACCTCCAAGAAAATTTTGAAATGAAAATCTCATTTCAGTGGGCCCTATTTCATGTTGGAGGTTCATGAAGCAATTCATCTAATTTACATTTGGGTTCTTTGGTCCTTCCGCAATGACAAACTTTTCAAGGATGTAGTAAAATCAAGCACGGTTTTGACCTCTGAAGTGAAACTCCTCACTTACTTACAGATTAATGCAAATAAAAGGAAGGATGTCGAGCTTCATTGGTTAGAATTGCTTTAAAACCTAGTTCTGGAATTTAATTAAGGTGCAACTTGTTGGATAATTGCTTTCCTTATTTTTCTTTTCAATAAATGATGGTATGTTTTCCTTTTTGTCATTGTATCTGCTACCTTCTTGCTATCTTGCTCTTTATAAAATCTCTTTCCGTTCAAAATAACTACTCATCAAGGTTATGCATTTATTGTCAGCAATGAAGAGAATTAAAATATCCAGAAAAATTTAAAACTTACAAATCTTGGACTTTCCAAAAATGAAATACATAAGAAAAAAAACATCATTCATGGCTTGACAAAACCTGAAATACACACCAAAAAAACACCATTCATGGCTTAACCCTTTAATACAAAAAAAACCGAAAACAATTACTATGGGTCACGAATAAGAAACGATAAGTTTATATAGGAGTCTAGTATGACAATTGTATGGTATAGCAATTGTATAAACAATTGTAGTATATCAATTGTATAAACACAGAAGAATATATCAAACTAACTCTTTGATTAAAATTGGAAATATAACTCAAAACCAATTACATATATATGTCTGTGTATGTTGCTGTGTTTTGTTGTGTATTACCCTCTTGGTAATTCACTGAATATATAGGATGGACTTAATCATTTCAATCCTATATTAATAAGTATGAGACCCAACCAACTT